ATATCAGATTTTTTTCTTCCATAACATGTTCGGTAAAAATGCATTTTACGGTAAAAATACTGGCATCCTGAGTGCCGATGCTTTCTACCGTAATACCGAGTCTTTTTATAGCGCACGCAAATTGTGTGTAATTGCAGTTTTTAAAACTCTATACAAATACTGATCAGACAAAATATTTTCTTGTTTTCAATTTTTTGTTCTTAGAAAAATTTCAATTTTCTTTTCTTGTTCAGTGTTTCATAATTTCAGCCTTGATAAAACGCTAAACAATTCCATAACAAATCATAACAAACAATTCCATAACAAACATCAATCATATCATAAAAAAAAAATCATTCACGGGTATTTACTGCTAATTATCACCCAATATACTTCTGATACTTTTTTCATTTCCTGATCGGACTATTGTTTTAAACCAAATGAAATAATTCTACAGGACTTGACCAGAGACGCGCAAATTGATGATTCCTAATTTATCTCATACTGTGGATAAAAAAAATATGGAATTACTTATTTTAAGTGCAAATTGGAGAGATTAAAAGTTTTGTCCCAACTTACTCGCTATGCAATTGATCCAACGGCTGGTTTTCAGGCTTAGGATTAAAAATTCGATTTAACAGTTAGATCATCGGGATTATCTATATACGGAAAAAAATTCTGATAAAACTACCGTACTGTATAGTAATGACAATTCTAGTAAAAAAATTTCATACATCTGGTTAATAAAGCCGAAATATACTGCATTTTTTAAAAAAAAAACTTTCATTCGGTAATTTTTTCGTTCATGCGGTTACGGTTTAACGGAAGTTCTGATTTTTGAAATTATAATTCTTATTACCACATATTTAGTAAAAAATAAAAAACAGAAAATTAAATTTAACCGAAAATCGTTTTCATGCCATGGTATGGTTTCTTGTATTAACGTTGCTGTGGTGCAAAAGTCCATGCGGAAACCACAGCACGGATTAATACTGTTGATAAAATTATCAAATTTTACCATCTTTACCAAATTTGATCACATATAAAACAGATTTTAATATTTGTTTTACCAAAATTATTACGTGTTAAAAATTACCGAACTTTTCCGTGTTCCCATAGAGCCATAAACACAGTCATATTCTGGCAATTCTGGAAATTTTATTTCACAGCTATTTATGATCCAGTATGCTCACAATGTGACAAAAATACGCCTACACAAGTATTAGTAGAATTGACAATAATTTAATTTCATAAAAATTATCCCTTTTTTAACAAGCGGTTTTTGGCATTGAAGATTTTTGCAATAATTTTCGGCTTTTTATTTTCAAATAAAATATTACGTACGAACGTTCGGTATAACAATTATTTCTACACCATATAGCACGAGGAGATCACACCAAAATACCTAATTATAGGTTTCAATCTTTTGATGCTTAAATGTCAATCGAATATACATAAAGCGTTAGTTTAACTGCCTGCTTAACTTACAAAAAAAATATTTCAGGAAATATAATAATCATGTCGAATGTCATTTTGCAAATAAAATTGAATCGCAATTTCATCTATGCTATGTTCATAAATATAAAATATTTGCTGAAAAATAAGAGCAGGTTTATAAAATAATCGTAGAATTATCGTACGGTAACTGCTGAAAAACTACTAGGAAAAACCTAGAATTTGAACAAACGGTTTTAAACCGTTTCTGATTAGGATGAAAAACAGAAAAAAACTACTTTGTCAACAAAACAGCTCAAAGCCGTCAAATATACAGAGAAAGTCTGTAAAAAGAACGGGAATTTTTTAATGAGCGCATTTGACAAATAAATACAGGAAACAGCTGTATTTTTCTTCAAAAAAAATTTTTTTTAATGTATTAAAGGTTATTATTGCCTAAAAAAACTTATTCTATATTTCTTAAAGATAATACTTAAAATTAATTAAAAAATTTGAAATTAAATTATTTAAAACTTCAGGTTATTCTCCTGAATAAGTTTCCTATAAAAATAAGTTTTTAAATATATAAAAAGATATTGTTTTCTAAAAAGAGATCACTTAAAAGTTAGTCGAAAAGTTTAAAAAAGAAAATGTACCCAGAAAAAAATGTTTTTTATCAAATCCTTTTTATTTGTCTTATAAAAAAAAGGAGCTTAAAGTTTAATTTGAAGAGAAATTTTATCAAGAATTAAGTTTAAAGGGAATGTTATTTAAAATATCGCTTGAGGACTTTAAACAAAACGACCTTCTTTTTCTTTTGAAATATTAAACCGCGATTCGATTCATTTAAATTCATTTCCTTCAATAAATTACATAAGTTCTGAAGTAAGTTTCGTTAGATTCATTTCTGAAGGACATATTTTTCTGACATTTATGGATGATATCTTCCAAACATTAAATTAATCAATGATCAACTGGATGAGAAATAAAATGCAATTTTTAAACTAATCTTTTAATATCAAGCAAATTATTGGAAAGTTGGACGAAATTGGTTCTTGAAGGTTTCATTTTTTAAGGTTTCGATTCGCAACAAAAAGTGCTTGAAATTTAATTTGAATGATAAAATCAGCTCCAAAAATTAAATAATTTAATGTAAAGCTTTATTTTGGTTGCTAAATTAATTACTTTTTGAGAGTGTACTAAAACTCCGCCCGAGTTGAATAAAACTAGATGTCGCAAGGTGATAATAAAAATGGAGATTTGCTAAAGCTAGACTGTCAATTCACGGAAGATGTTAAAATAACAACTCAGTGGGGATTTCCTTAAAGAAAGTAAGTGATTTGATCCCTTTGCGAAAAGATGAAATAATATTGTGTATATCTTACGGTCAATATAATTAATCGGTTAATATTATTAATCGCCAGTTATAATTAATAATAAATAAGACGGTTTGAAGTGAATAATCTATCAGGATATATCACTTTAACGGTTATTAATAATTACCAATTAAGCTTGGGCAATGTAATAATTTTCAACTAACTTGGTTAGATATTTCCAATACACATGCGCAATGGTAATTCTCCGCGCAAACGGCTGGACAATATTAGTTTTTTGTTTACTTTGTTTTGCTCACTTACCTTAAAAAAAAACACTTCAGTGTTGAGTTTCCAGGCAAATGTTTATCAGGCAGTGGCACTTAACCTTAAAAAAACATCAGTGTAAGGTAAGCCGGGTAATGACTTTCACTTCCCTTAATTGTTAAAAATAATAAACAGCGATTATTATAAATAACCGCATTCCATGAACTAATAATTTAAATTATCTTTTGTGACGATATTAAAATTTATGAACTCAAGACTTCAAAAATTATCATTAATCAATAGATATGATGATATATAAGAAAAAAATGAACTTTTAATGCTATTATTTTAAATTAAAACCTAAGTAAAAATCTGTATATTTATTACATCTTTTGTAAGCTTCATCTCTATTATATTCATCCGATTTTTTATTTCATCACTAAAACAGTTAAAGGTTTTGATCAAATCACTCACTTTCTTTAAATAAATAAGTCTGCAGATGTTCCGTAAATTAATCATCTGCTTTAGGGATTCGATCAAGTTTTCATAATTTCGCAACGACATATATATAACCGTCTTTGAACATCCGACCCAATTTACGACTTCTAATTGTCAACTGTAATTTTAAACTCAAGGAGACAAGGGAACTCCTGGATCAAGTATTGGGAGAAATTTGCCTTCGTGGAAGACTTTTTTTATGGAACTAACCCGCATTTGCGTTACATGAAGAGAAAGACCACGAGAACCTCCCACGGTTAGCCTGACGGCAAGGGGACTCTAACCCATGATCCGTCTAACGCTGAGGATATTTCACGTCAGCACTGTGTCGGTGCAAGCAGGATGCGGAATTCCTATCGACTGGGATTCGAACCCGGTTCACCTCATTGAAGGCTCTATCCCCTGAGCCATCGCGGCTCCCAAGACCTATGTGGAAGTAATAAGAAAAGTATTTTTTCCTTCTGGAATATTTATTTACAATAACAACTCAATTTTATACTACACTCCTACACTAAGACCACGCAAGGGTTTAAAAATCAAAGAACAAAAGAAATACATTTGGAATTCATCGGAAATTAAGTAATTTGATCAGATATCATGTTCTTCTGGTAGTTTTATGTGCCCATCTTTAACATTTGAGACACTAGAGACTAAGCCTATCTAACACAATTGAGACATATGAGCCTACCAATTACAGTTGAGACACTAAGCCCATCTATGACAGTTATGACATTGAATCTCAACTATTACAGTTGAGACTTGATTTATCGTAATATTCAGCAATTTTAGAAGTCTTTTTCGTCTCATAACGTGAACTATGTATAAATACTGAAGTTAGTATGTTTCTTGCGATTTTCTGAAATTGTTTTTCTTGTTCTATTTTTATTTTCTCTCTCCTTAATCTTTTTTCTATTTTATTGAAGTCTCTTTCAAAAAGCCATCTTTATATTATTTTTTAAAAAAAATTATAGCTTTTAAAGGAGTATTTTATAAATTAAGCAACCTATTCAAACAACCAATTTCCATCTAGTCAGAAGCAAATCTATCAGGACATGTCCGACAGATCAAATCCTAGTTTTATTCAACCACACAATTTAATACTAAAGAAAACTAAACATTTTGTAAGTGTGATGCAAAACCCGTTTTAAAAATTTTAAATAATGGCTTAAAAAAATTTTATAAAATATTGAAATTACTCTGCAAGCAATTGGAAACCACATAGTAAAACCGATGGAATAAAAACCAAAGCTTTTCGACTCGAAATTTTAAAAACGCTAACGCCGACAAAAAAAATTATTAACTCTATTTTTAATTGTCTCTCAATTGCATGGAAACTGTTATTACTAGTTATTACTGTATTTACTGTTACTACTCACATGATCCTTCATGTGATTTGTGATAAATTGCTGCAGAAATTTAGTTAAAAAATGCCAGTGTCCGGTTTTATCCAACTCTCTCAAACAACATAAGGAACATAAAATAGGTATTTCAAAAGTAATGGTTTCTTACCTGAATAATAAAGCTCTAATGGTCAAATTTTCTCTCTAATTCACTAATTTTTGTTGAAACTGAAATGAAAAAAGTGCATATTATTAAAATGCCCAATTACATTTTTTTAAAATGGTACCTCATAAATGCATAAATGTCGTGAAATACATGATCATTAAGTTTCAAAATATTGTGAATCTTTTATTCACAGTAAGTCTAAATAATATACTCCGATTTAAGGATATGATATGTAATGTCTACTTAATTTTGGTTTGTAATTTTATTTGATTTTATATCCCTCGTTGAACAATCAACCCAATTTTTGGGTTTACGACTACTAATATTCAAATGCGTAGCCTTATAATTTCGAACCCAATACAGAAGACAAGGGAACTCCTGGATCAAGTATTGGGAGAAATTTGCTGCCGAGGAGGATTTTTTTGACAGAAATTACCCGCATTTGCGTTACATGGAGAGAAAGAGAACCTCACATGCTTAGCCTGACGGTAAGGGGACTCTACCATGATCCGTCAACCACTGAGGATATTTCACGTCTGCACTCTGGTTGGTGCAAGCCGGATGAGGAATTCATATCGACAGCCACCGCTGGGATTCACCTCATTAGAAGGCGAACTCTCTATCCCCTGAGCCATCGCTGATCTGGTTTGTAATTCCCATCCAAAACATACTCTAGCTACGCTAGAGTTTTTATACATAAAAAAGAAATTGTTGTATCTTGCCCAGTTTAAATATTTGCTCCACTTAATTAAGAAATTTGCATGTAAGTGATACCTGCAGCAAATGGTACGATGTATTAGGAACGATTTCCCTGGCATTCGTTAAAAAGCTTTTTTTAATTGTTGAGAGTGTTTCTTCAACCAATTTCTGATTGAAATATATAATTGTACAATTTTAAACAGATCTAAAGTAGATGGACGATTTCAGTATGAATATTTTTCAATCTAAATTTTGGTATTTTACTGCTAGAAAATCTAAATATGTAGGTTTGTAGCATTTTTTGTTTCATGCTACCTAGGGAGAAAGTAGTGCTTTCTCACACATTTAAGAATCTTCACCTTGCTGTATAAAGGAGAAAACATCCATTTCACCTAAAACTGTTTGGAATATCCAAATACTTATTTATGTCTACTCTCTTATGCTTAAGTATTGCTTTTAATTTAAGATACTGCTTAATTCTGCAAAATGATTGTTTTCTTATAAATCTTCTCTTAACTGATTCGTAGAGACTATTTTATTTGATTACCGTCGTTGTACAGCCAACCCAAATCTTGGGTTTACGACTACTAATATTCAACTAAGTAGCCTTGTAATTTTGAACCCAATCCAGAAGACTATTGGATCGAGTATTGGGATAAATTTGCCTTCGTGGAGGACTTTCTGATGGAACTAACCAGCATTTGCGTTACATGGTGAGGAAAATCCTGAAAATCTCCCACGGTTAGCCTGACGGCAAGGGGACTCTAACCCATGATCCGTCTGCAACTAATTATATTTTACGTCAGCACTGTGATCGATGCTAGCCTGGTGCGGAATTCGTATCGAACAGCCATCGCTGGGACCCTGTTTACAGCATTGGAAGGCCAACGCTCTGAGCCACCACAGCTTCGTAGAGAAAATTGGTGGCTAGAAAAATAATGCCTGAATTTAAGTTGAAAAATGTTCACAATGATCATTTTTAAATGAAAGGAATGGCATGTTTTTTCCTTTAACTTCAATCCCCAAGAAAATCAAAAAGGGTCAAAGAATTGAAGGCTACTGTGAGTGGCATAATATTAATACTCCAAGCATTGATAGCATATTATTATATTAATATCACTTTTATTTTGACCAAGAAGATTTATTTCAACAGGGTACTATTTCTCTTTTACTTATTCCATTTTTTTCCTCGAGAAAGTTGCAATTTAATATAAGGTGCCGAGAGATTAAAAATAAATAAAAAAAAATATTTCGATGCCTTGTTTTCGAAAGAAAAAATTTCAAAACATTGATAAAAAAAATATGTCGATTTATATGATCTTAATCAGATCGGATTTTACCATTTTAAGCAGTTAGCACCTTATAATAATTCTCTTGGTAGCAACGCCATCTATGAAGCAAAATAAATAAACCTATAGAATTATTTTTTTTTGCTGAATCTGCAATAAAAAGTAGGGATTGAAAGTTCCCCCCCCCAGCCTCAGAGGTGGGAGTGGTTTGGAGTCATTGGATACCTTTTAAAAAGAAATATTGAAACCTTCTTTTTCCATCGGATGACCAAACTTTTTTTACACCCTGTATAACCAGTTATTTTTATGTATGATGCCGAAGAATAATCTTTTAAAATCATATTTATTAGACAAACATAAATTTTCATGCATGCAAGAAAAAATAATTTGAGAATGACGAAAAAATTGGCAGAATATGTAAAGGAAATATATGATTTGTTACAATTTTGTCCATTTACAATCAAAATCTTTTTTTAAGGTGGACAAGGGTCAAAACATGGCCTACAGAACTGAAAATCTATAGACGTTTCAGTAATTGTAACAACATAAGAGCACTTTAAAATTTCGAAGAAAAAAAATTTGCAACGATCTAATAAACATATCATATATATGTCAAAAGTTTTTTACTTATTTATTTTTTAAACAGAGCCCTTTCTTCAGGAGCGAGGAGTTTGCCCCGGGCATTCTTGTACCTCTGCACACACTGCATTTGGAGTTACTGCATCTAATACGAAGTAATAGCAACCTTATTATGCCGCCCTTTGTACAACCACCCCCCATAAAAAAAACTACCCCATAGCCAGGTGATTAATAGGTTTTGACCTACTTCTACTGTAAAGAGAAGATTTATGTATTTGAAGATAGGATCAGATGCCTCAAGGCTTATATTTACAGATTAAGTTTCAGATTATGATTCATAGAACTTTTTCATTTATAATACTTGATTATTGATTTTGAAGGCTCATCTTTCCTAAGATTAGGAGATTTGATTATAAATTTAAGAATTCATCTGAAACTTTTTTCGAATCACAAATAAAAAGCGTACACATTTAGGAAAAACGCTCTAAGAATCTAAGAAATGACTGTAAAGGAATACTTGATGGTAGTAGGAAAAAAAGATGAAATTATAGATGATTATTAGAAACACCTTCAAAATGCAATCTCACTGATTATGATGTTCCCTTCAATTGTGATTTCAATCATCTTTTTATTTCCTCTTAGCTTAAATATTAATTAACCCCATTTTTGAATATTTATTTTGGTACAATTTTAATTTTTATAAGGACAGTCCTTTTAGAACACTCTTTATTGTTACACTAAAAATTGAAAATTTGAAAAATGTTAGAATATCATGTAAATAAAAATTGGTGATTTAAGTTGGTGTTGTTTCCAATGCTACTTGCCAATACCTGCAAGTCTGCTTGAGAAAACAAAGCGAATTTTACAGCGGAGTGTGTGTTTCTTGTTTTTCTGTGACGCCATCTCTGGCCAAGAATATGACTTTCAGCCACAGATACACCACATCTCAGTCCGTTTGTAGGGCGGACTTATTCATACAACCATTTATTCATCCACGTATCATAATTTTAATCTGAACCACAGAATGATTAATCTCCAATTCAGTACCCTAAGAGGTATTGACTTTGTGACCCGACAGATTTAATCTGCACCAGTCACCATTTATTACACGGGGAGTCTTCGACCGGCGGGTATCTAATTCACGACCTCACGAACATGGACCCAACGTCCTACCTACCTGGCTGTCCCGTGATTTAAGTAAAAAATTATCGGTGTTGTTCGCGTTGCAATAAAGATATTTCATTAATAAATTAAACGAGAGTTAGATCAGTTAAATATTGAACAAGCAATTGAGCAACCTAAATTATTTATCAGATTCATTTAAACGAACAACATATTAAGATAACATCTTTTTCATCAATTGTAACACAATTCGGAATTAGATAAAAAAAAAAATTAAAATTGGAAATGAGTCTGGTGGAGAAAACAGCGACAATATAATGATGGGTAACGCTAGACTTTCCATACAGTTAAGAATATTGTGTCACTAAAATAATAATAAAAATTTATCAAAGTGAGAAGAAAATAAGAGATAGTTGAAAATATTGAAAACAACATAGTGGAAATTCCTATTACCACTTAACACCAGTTGAAAATTATTAAACTACCCAAACTAAATATTTCGAAATATTAAAGAGACAAGTATAATTGGCTAGATTTCAGGAGTAAATTCAAAAACTTAATAAGCAAATAATTCTTTACCCATAAGTGTTTATATTTGTAATTAATTTAAGGACGCGTTGCCGTGAATGTTGTTAAAGGGTTCGCATTATCGAATGAAAATTACGAAAAGGCCCTTAAATTATAATTTCGCTAGAGAATATTTAACAAATAAAGAAAGAAAATAAATGCAAGCATGTTCTACGTTTAAGATTCTAAAAATACAGGCGTTATACAAATCAACGACCGGATTTTGAATATTTTTGAAACTATTACAATAAATGGTGTTAAAAGAGAATGTGTTTCTTCAGTTACGAATCTTTAACCTTTTTAAAGGACAAATATCTAACCTGTCCATAGATTTTGAAGTTTCACAGTGTCAGTAGCTCACAATAAAATGGCATCGGTAGTTTAGAGACAGCGTAATTTCATAGACGGAAATCCGTCGTTCTTGGTGGCCATGTAATTAAGAATAAATCATTGGCCACCCGTATACCCAAGACATACACTGCTTATGAACTGCCAAAAATATTACAAGAACTTTACGCTCTTGTAGAGAATTAAGAGCCATTGACAGTGCGTAATGTGAAAGAAACTTGATAACAGATTTGATGATTGTCGCCTAACAAAAGGACCGAATCTAACAATTTTCGTTGAAAATAATTCTTCTTGAAATTCTTCTATCTTATATTATATTGTGTGCAATAGTTATAGCATAGTCATTATTTTGGGCTAACCATGTATATCAGGTCTACGAAACTTACATGGCTTATTCCAAGTGAAATACACCACAAATTTTTTGTGAAAAAGTACTTACTGAAAAAGGACTAAAATAA